GGGCTGTCAGAAATTTGGGATGAGGAGAAATGGGAGGGAGTATTGGAAGGACTCTCCACCCCACTTCTGGGTGGCTGGACCTCAGTTTCTGCCTGTGGGGTGCTCAACCACAGTATCTCCTGTTTAGCACTCAGCTCCAGGGGTGTTACCTCAACTTGTCCATCCACAGAGCCAGTCTTCAGTTCTAGAGAGAAAAATATTTCAGGTAATAAAAAAAATTAAAATAGAGAACATAAAACCAACAAAGCAAAAGCACTGTAGGTTCTTTTGACAATCATATTCGATGTTTTACCTAAAATTAGGCCATAGCATAGAGCCCCAATTGTCTTTGTGGAAGTTCCCCTGAAGCAATTCTATTTTCAGTATAACATTTAAAGGTAGCTCAAAGTCAAATTTTGTGTGTACTTAAGGAATCCCTACGATCTAGCTGTTCTCAGGAGAAAACAAAATGATTAGGTGTGATTTTTTTCCCTGCTGTTCTGTTTCTTCTTCACCTACAGGTTTAAATATCTTAACACTGTAAAGTTGTAAGGTATCTAGTCTGAGTATATGTTTTAATAAATTTAGGAGAAACTCAGGGGAAAAAAGTAGTATATGCAATAATTCGTGTTTCAAATTAAAAAGGTTTTTTAGACAAAGTTTAATAAAAAATACTCTCAAGCTTTGTAACCTGTAATCTATGATATGAAATGTATTTTATGTAACCACACAGTTTAAATACCACCTGCAAAACTGAGACCGGGAATATCACGAAGCAGTATTTGTTCTTTCTATAGGACATGCACTCTTTTTCTCTTCTATTTCTTTTTTATTAACTGCCAGAGGTCATGTGCTCACCAGCAATAACACAGTGAGAGAGGAAGAGGGAGAAAACATGCCCCAGTGGGGTGTGGCCATACCTAACACAATCTGTTCCCTCCATTTTTCCATCCTGTTGAGATTGGAGCATGCATCACATGCCCAGTGTGTTTTTCTTTTCAAGCCTCTGGGGCTGGGATTTGAACTGCAGTCAGCCATGTGGAATCTGACTCCTGTAATCAGTTGGTTATAGGGCTGGGCCTAGTTCATTTTTTAAACGGAGGTTTTACCCTGACAGTTTGAGTTCATAAACTTCCAATGGGGCCTAAATTGAAGTTTGAAAAGGAAATTTAGAAATAATGCCTATCTTTTAATACAAGGGAGCAAATGAACCTAAAGAATGTCTATTCTTTTATTTAGAGAGATTTTTATTATAGGGTAAGTGTACTTGTTGGAGAAACAGAGAGAGGCAGAGAGACAAGAAGCAAGAAATAACCCACACACACACCCCCCATGGGTGATGGCCACGCTGCAATCCCTTCTCCTCCATTCTTCTCTCAGGATTTTGAGCACTCATGCACATGTGCCCGGTGTGAGTTTTAAACCACTGGGTCTGGGACTCAAACTGCAATCGACTACGTGGGAGTCCAATGATGTAAACATTACGCCATTTGCTGGTCCCAAAAATGTCTATTCTTGTCTCACTATGGGGAGGTGAAAATAAACAAGATGCCCACAGGATGGACTTACTGACTTCCTGGACCTCACTACCTTGTGGTAGGAATTAATGGAACATTGTGACTTCTGAGAAAAGATCAAAGAAATAAGGAATATGATGAAAATGTGTTTATGAAAAACTATTTGTAAACCTCTGGTACATGAAAGAAAAGCTCGATATTTTATTGTAAATTCTGAAGCCGAGGGGCCAGGAGTGATGGTCTATCTCTGTAAGGCCAGCAACTTGGGGGGATTGATCAGGAGGATGAGGAGCTGGCGGCTGGCTGGGCGATACAGCGAGATGCTGCCTGAAAAGGGCCCGACGTTGTGATGCGTGCCTGCAGTTCCAGCTGGAGGCTGAGACAGAAGGCTTGCCGTGTAGCAAGACTCTGCCTTAAACTAAAAATAAAACAAATAAATAAAAGCATATGAATAATTTACATTTTATAACTTTGTTTGCTTTGGTCTTTCAGAATTTCCTTCACGTTTCTCAAGCTTTCACTTTCATGGAAAAATGTTTTCAATGCTCTTTCTTATTCTATGATGGGATTAATTGTGTTGACGGGATTTTCCATCTTTGGTGTATTCCTATTTACTTACTTATAAGTATACTTCATGTGTTGGAAACATGACTTGCAGTGAAATGAAAGCTACAGATTGGTATAGTATTTTGTGCAAGTCTGCACCGTGCTCTTATTTCCTATTGCCTGATTTGTTAAGGACAGAAAGACTGAAACACAAAGAGAACTTGTATTAATGCTGGGAACGGACTGTTGCCTGATGCCTGATCCAGTGTACTTCTCACTGGAACATGAACAACTCATGATGCCCCTAACCTGGTTCACATTGGCTATTGTCCGAACTGATGGTCAAAAACAGGACAAGGTCTATGGAAAACTACTATTGCCTCTTCTATCACTAATACAAGAATTCTTGAAATTAGCGTGTATTATTTGATCAGAATTATTTTTATTTAACATTATTTAATTAATTTATTTATTTTTAATTTTGTCAGAGAGGGACAAAGTAAGAGAAAGAGAGAGAGAAGGAAAGTAAGAAAGTAACCCACCAGGTTCGGGACTCAAACCACAGTGGCCATGTGGGAATCCAGTGCCTCTAATCACCATGCCACCTGCAGGTCCCAGGGTATGCTATCTTTCATCTTATGAGTTGCAGGAAGTAAAGTACTTGAGAACCTACAATAATAATATAACATTGGCTTTTTTCTTACTATCATTTTCTTTTTATTTTACTAGAGGGCACATGCACGCTCCAGAAAGAGATAGAGAGATATGAGAAGGAAAAAATGAAAAAGCACCTCTCACGGGGAATGGTCAATCCACAATCCCTTCTCCTTCATCTCTTCCTCCTTTTGGGATTTTTTTTTGGGGGGGGGCACACACACACATATATCCAGAGTGTTTTTCAAACCGCTGGGTCCAGGACTCAAGTCACATAGGCAGTCATGCAGGACCCAATTCCTCAACCTCCAGGCCATAAGCTGGCCTTATAGCATTGGCTTTATCGTCCTATAAAAATACAGTTGTGATTGGTGACTATAGCCCTTGTTATGAACCCAAAGCTAAATTATAACCCTACAGAAGCAAATTAGGAGTCTCAAAACTCAAAGAACATTGTAGGAAGAAAATGATTATATAACTATGGTATTTTGTCCTTGTGAGGGAATACACAATTAGAGGTGAAAAGGAAGAACTTTATAACAAAAAAAAAGAAGAAGAAAATTTAAAAATGAAGGGGAGAAAGTGTTCCTAAATATTATGGGTGGGTAGTTCTAAATGTCAATAAGTTTTCCCGTGAACTCATGTGGAGAGTAATGTAGAATAGTTTCATGTGGGAGATTTCAAAAAAAAATTAAAAACAAACACTGACATTTTAAAGACTTAAACGTTTCAAATGGAATGACTATTAAAATGCAAAATTCGACTGAACAGAGACATTTGGAGATTATATTTGAGCAGTGCCCTAAGAGGCAGATAATGAATGACTCAGATACTCCGAGCGGTTAGGGCTGACTCACATGTTTTGGAAGAAGGTATCATCAACTCACTGATTGTGTCATTTCTTTTTTTCCCCTTTGTTCCACCTGGTAATGCCAAATAAATTCTGAAATCTTACTGACATTCTCAGCTCCATTGTCTCCAGAGGACGTTTCAAACCATCAGTTTCAAGACTGGGTTTGAACATACAGGCATTTAGTGCATTTGACATTCCCTCCCATAAGGAAAACAAGCCGCATGTGTAACTGTAGAACATGTAGGAGATGGGAAGCCCAAAAAGCCTTGACAGGATAAGAATGGAAAAACTAAGACTGGGCTTGGTTTTTCAGGATGGAAGAAACGGGTCTTCTTACCACAGCACTGCCTGAATGGTGCTACCTGAAAGATATTTCTGTTAGCACATATCTAATATCTATAGTAGATCCATGAGGCTGAAAGATGAGGGAGACTGGCCTCTGTTCTAGGAAGACTCCCAGCCTATCAGGGAAACTGACATAGGAACTAATAAGTGGTACCGCATGATATATTTTAATACATGTATCGAAAACATTTTGGGGGGAGCACAGAATAGTCAGTGAAGACAGCACTAAGATTGAAAACCCCTGACAGAAGAGGTGGCAGTTGGCCGACTTAAAGGAGATATTGAAATTTGGAATCTTTTTCTTTTTAATTGCGAGAGGCCATATGCCAGAGAGAGAAGAAATTGGAGTTGAGTGGTGGAGAAAGCAGCCACCCATTGGGAGTGGTGATGTGCAATCCTTTCTTCTGCATTTCTCCTTCCTATTGGGACTTGGGACGTGCATGCACACTCTCCTAGCTGCCAGGATCAGGGTTTGAACCATGTTTGGCCCAACCTGAGAAATTGATGTTCTAAATGTTGGTAAAATAGGCAAATCAGAAATGGTAGGGATCACACAAAGAAGAAAAAGGTCCAAGAGTGCAAACGCTGAGGTGTGTCCATAGAAAGCTTAATAATCCAGTCCAGCCACAGAGTGGAGGGAAAGTAGAAAAAGATGAGTTGAGAATACAGTTCAAAGAATGTGTCAAGTCAGGGTAGTTCTCTTGGTATGGTTCATATGATCTGTGTCTTAGTTTTATCCCAATCTCAAGAATATGTCCAACCTGAAAGTGGCTATTCTCCTAAGTCTGTGATTCAGCTTCTTGGCTGAGCCTCGATTTTTGGATGATGAATAACAGCAGTCTAAGAAAAGCTTGCAATCGTCTCGGTACCCATACGTCTTTCTGGGTAAGAACTCACAGTGCCAAGTCCTCGATAAACATCCATTGAAAATGTGATAATGAAGCACATGCACACACATGCACAGATGCATGTACATATACATACAATTGAAGAAACTCGTGGCTTTTTGAACATTCAAGTTTTACTACCGTGTTGCAACCTTCAAAATATAATATGGTCTGAAGGTGGCTGACAGATTTCTCTGCCCCTTTTCTGTCTTCTCACAGGATTGAAAAAACGTACAAGGAAGGCCTTTGGAATACGGAAGAAAGAAAAGGACACTGATTCTACGTATGTACTTTAAGAGTCTGCCTCCCCATGAGAGATGCCTTTGTCATTGTCACCTTAAGATCGTCAAGGTTTTCTTGGATATTATATTATTATATAGCTCTCCGCATTCCTGAGTAAACTACAGTTGTTTGGCATAGATAGTTCTTAGATTTGTGAAAAAAAAAAAAAAGATGCTTTTTCATTGTGTGTTCAGTTTTTCATCATATGGGTTTGTTCATTTATTTCTTTGTCTTCTTTTCACAACCTGATAACCACACTTCACGGCAGTCTTGAAAGGCAGCAAGGGTGACTGTTAGATTTGTGAAGACTAAAGGAAATTATTTCTGCTTTCAGGATTGCCCCTAGTACATGACCTAAGAAACAACAAAACTGTTTAGGTAGATTAGCCCTAGCTAGAAATGAAAAAATAGATAACATCCCAAAGCACTTACTTGGGAATCCCAAGATTTGTTGTTGTGGTTGTTTTTGAAAGGTTTTTCCTATAGGGTGCGTGCACTCACCAGAAAGACAGAGAGATAGAAAGCGAGAAATCACCCCCCAGGGGGGATGGCCACACCACAATCCCTTCTCCTCCATTCTCTTCTCGGGATCTTGGGCACGCACGCACATGCTCCCGGCATGAGTTTTAAACCACCGGGTCTGGGATTCAAACCACAGTCGATCACATGGGAGTCCGGAGACATAGCCATTCCGCTAACTGCTGGTTCTGGAATCCCAAGATTTTGAATAAGCAGAATTGTAATCAACCAATGGAATTCACAGAACTGGTAGAACATTTGTGTCCAGACAACAAACCAGTGCCAGGAACAACTGTGGGGATGTTGTGCAAGTTTAAATGATCATGTCCAAGACAATTAATTGCCTACAGATATTGATAGACTCTTAAACATGTCTGTTGACATAACAGATTTATTCTACTTACTTCATTCTCTTACTAAACCACCTTGAATTCTGCTTGAGAAAATTTGGCTCTGACACAAAATCTCAGGTCCCTCTTTGAGCTAAACAGGGAACTTAAATTCATGAAGTCAGCTGGCCAGGAGCTCGGGATTCCAGCCCGAGACCCATGTAAGAGAGCACCACTACTCCACTGTAGCTGGTTAACAGGTGGAAATGCAGATTTGATAGAACTGAGCCCATTAAGCCCGTCTTTGGCAAGGATCCCTGAAAGAAAGTTAGAAAATAAGAAAATTAATAATTGTTTGGGCGCAGGTGAAAATGAAGAAGGCCACATTTATTCCCATCTGTAGCTTTTCATTTGTACATTTTTATCATGCAATTTTATCACAAGGTTCTGAGCAGTTTCCTGCATCCTTGCCCTCCAAGAATTTATAATTTATGAGATAAAATGTCCACTACACAAATTAAGATACCTTTCATATAGCTGAATGAGATAGCATATTTGAGGTGCCCTGTGTGGCACCCAGTACTTAGTAAAATCCTTAGTAAGTCAGCTGCTGCTACTCTTATTATTGATACAGACTGACATATGGTAAGTGCCCCATGAGCAACTAAAATGGAGTTTCAAGGGAAATTTTAAGGTTAGAAAGCTCATATTTGGACTGATAGTCAGTAGAGTATGCATTTAGGATAAAGTAAATGAGTCAGCATGTCTTCCTGTGGGCAGCGGGTAAAGGTGGTAGTGGGAGACAAGGCTAGACAGATGAGCAAAGCCAGCTAGAAGGGGCTTACGTGGGAGGCAGAGGTCTGAACATCCTTCCTCAGGCAGTGGGCCACCTTGAAACCTTAAAGGCTTTGAGACCAGAGAGCATAAAAGATGGAGGGAACAAAGTTATTTTTTATCTCAATACCAAATATTCAAGTCTTCTGTTCTTACATTTTCTTTGTGCTTTTCTTTTGGTAAATGTTTATTTCTTGGAAATCAAATTTACTGTAGTCCTGCTGGTTTTTATAAATGACTAGGTTAGGAATATTTTCCTGACAATTATGTAATTTACATTGTTTCTTAAGAAACTTAATGTCTTCTAAACATTAATTGCTCAGAATAAGCGATCCCTTCCCTACGTTCAGAAGGCCTGGATTCTGTTCATAGCGCCGCTAAGAGTTCCATGGCCTTGGGAATGACATTTCCCTCTGCCAGGCTTCAGTTCCCTCATTTGTAAACATGCAAGATTACACGAGATTTAATCTAATTTCCCGAAGGGGCCAGATACCGCACCAGCTAGTCTGTTGACACCTAGAGTGCGCCACTTTGAAGGGCACAGTGGACACTATTAGATACCTTTCAGAAGCACATTTTCAGCAGAAGCCAAATCCACTTTTCTGTGAAGGCCATGTCTATAACTGACCTCACCAGACACTGCTGGTGTTTGAAGAAACAGAAAAGAAAGCTCTCTCCAGTCAGAAAAGAGGCTAAACAACCTCCCCAGGGCAGCTAATTTACATGTGGACCAAAGCAAAGTGTTCTTGCACCATCATTTCTAAAGCTCTGAAAAATGATTCTTCAAGGCTCTGGTTGATGAGCCCTAACTCTGGAGGTAGTGTAATAAAGCATTTGTCTGTAGAATCCCAAGCATCTCTCCTTAATTTATCATTTTAGTGCTCCAAATTACTGAAGAGGTAACAAATTCACTGTAAGCAGGTTTCCAATATCCATGATGGTCAAAGAACAAGCTGTTTAGTATGAGCCTTGGCTTTTCATGAGCTGCCTCCCTTCCCCCTGCACTCTAATTGGATCACATATCACTCTTGGAAAAGGAGTCATAAAAGCAAAGGGATTGAGGAAATGCTCTGGCAATTTGCTGTCCCTTCAGCTTTAGTTAATGCTTATGTTAGTCTGTGATCATTCAAACTGTGTTGAAGTAGACGGTGTTCAGCGCTGCTATAACTAGTGCATGGTTGCTAAGCAACCTGCTAAGCTAGATGCCAGCACCAACTTCAGTTGATTTGACCTCCTTAGAGAGAGTGGGGTTAGCACCGGTGCTTTCTGATTTGATCCTCATTTCAGTGGCTGATAGAGGAAGGGAGAGAGCTCGTGGTAAGCAGCAGGTCCTGGGCAGGGTATTTTGTTACACTGATACCTTTTTTAGTCCTCACAGTAATTCAATAAGGTTCATAGGTATATCTCAATTTTAGAGATGAGGAATCAGTGCCTAAATGACTTATGTAACTTACTGCAGGCTACCCAGAAAATAAGACTTGGAACCCAGTACTCTCGTCTAGAATCTTTGTGTCTATGCTTTTATCACCCAGAAGAGACAGTGAGGAGCAAAATTATGATGGAGAAATACAGGAAAGTAAAAGGCAGTTGTTTCAGGAGGGAACCGAAACTTTTAAAAATAGAGGCCAAGGGTCCATGGTAAATGGTTAGTTTAAAAATAGAACTCAACAAATCTAATGGGAGAATTATAATAAAAGTCCATAAATATATGTAATGCATTAAAATGAAAATAACTCCTTGTTATGTTTTATAGTAAAATATGAAATTTCATTAAGAGAGGGTTAGAAAATATGTTTGAAAAATATGCCCATAGTCTGAGGTTGCTAAAATCTGTCTAATCTCCATTGTAGGCCAGGTTATCTCATATTTATTATTCTACGTAGCATTTAATGAGTGCTTATGTTCTAGGCACTGTTTCTGGGGCTTTGCTTATATTAACTCATTGAATCGTTTAATAGTGCTATGGAGCATATACTATTATCATGGCTATGTTATAGATGAGAAAACCAAGACACGAAGGCATAGGGAAATTTGTGCCAGCCTCTGCAGCTAAGATTCTATGCACATTGAACCTAGTATTCTAGTACTAGAGCTGGTGCACTTAACCATAATGTTTACCACCTCCCTACCAAGACCAGTCCCATTTCCAGCAGTGGAGAAGATAAAGGATCAGAATAGGACTTCAATGCTGCTATACACAATTAGTTCTTCTGATTAATTTTTTTAAAATACCATTCCAATAGCTCTAAAGGCATGAGATCAGGTGGCTTCCTATTCAAGACCCCCCCATGGACATACCCTTCTACATGAACCAGTAGTGTACAACACCACAGTCAGCCAATGTCCAGAACCTTCTCTTCTCCATATCCATTGGTTGCTTCTCCTCTCCATATCTATCTCTGCTCCGTATCTTTTGGGCCCCAAAACATCTCCACAGGAATCAGTGGCTATGAGCATATCTGACCCAAAGTTGATGCAATAGTCTTTCTCCCAATTCCATTAGCAGCAATAGCTACAGGAATGGCTTGAACTCCTATTAAGAAGTGGGGCAGTATAAAAATATGAAAAGGAAAGTTGGTTTTGATGAGTATGGTTTGATACTTCTGTCCTCTGTTTCCCACAGTCCAGTTTTCCAAAGTAACAATAAAGGCCAATGGACAGACAGTCTTGTGTTCCTAGTGAAGAGACATCATGGGAGAGAAATGGAATTAAATTCAAGTAACACTTTTGAAGACTTAGTCTGTGTCAGGAACTACTATAAATTCTTACAAGAACCATTGTAGTTATTTATCTTCTTTAAGCTGGCTTAGAGAGGTTGAGTACCATGTCCGAATGTTGCAAAACTATGAAGCGGCAGAGGCTAGACAATAGATTCACATTACTCTAAAGCCTCCATGCAACAGCTGCCACAAACCTTGGCCATCAGAGGGAGCCATTTAGCAAAATACTACTGTCCTCCATTTCCTGCTCTCCCGTAAACAAAGGAGAGGTAAAGAGAGAAATGTGGAAGAAAGCAAGGACTCTCAAAAGAAGTCGAAAAATACAACAGAAGTTTCATCTTAGATAGGAGGCAGTTCAGGACCCCTCGCAGTGGGGAAAGGTAAGAGAGAGCAAGGCAGTTTACATGCACGATGGTGGTTCTCAATGGAGCCAGCCGGACTACTGAATCCTTTAAAAAATGAATCAAGATACTGCACCACCACTACATGTCGTTTGGCCTCCAGTTTCTAATGAGGATCTTCCTCCCACACACACACGCACACCCCGTGCTTCAGTGCCACTCAACCAATTGTTTTGATTTCGTTTTCATTAGCCAGGTTTACTGGGGTAGGAACACAGGAGGGTGAGTATGGCGGGTAATGATTCTTCTTGTAGTACTTTTGTCTATGTAGCAAGAATGATTCATTTTCATAATAGCTGTCAATTCTTTTCTGTTACAGAGGTTCACCAGATAGAGATGGAATTGTAAGTATTTAAATGACCATTTTCAGTTCTCTATATGCTATGTTTAAATTTCTTAAAGTCCCACACATGCACACTTTTATATGTATATATATATCTATATCTATATATAGATAGATATAGATATAGATATATGTATATAGGGAAGAATAGCTTGAATGACTTGTCAGACCTCTGACTGCTATAACTTTCTGTAGTAATTGCTTGGGAAATAAAGGAATTCTTCGTCGAGTTAGACTTACTTATTGCGTTCACCTAGAACCCCTCCCCAAAGTAGGCAATCTGCTAGTTATCAGGACAGTGGGTCAGAAGCCAGACAGTTCATGTAGGGGCTGCTATCATCAACCGTTAGTTCATTCCCAGTTTAATGATGTAAAAGCTCATTATGTGAGAATGTTTTCCTCCAACAGAGGCCACAGAGTCGTAATGGAGCTGAGATCCAATAAAATAGAAGGAAGCTTTTCCCCTTTAGCAGTTGTGCAGCAGATACATTTTCTATATTAAATTCAGAAGTAGGGAATGGTCTTGAAACCACTTATGCCTGAATTTACAGCCTGAAGGGGGAAAATGTGTCCACTGGGTTCAGTTTGAACAGTTACTCTGACTCCTTGCTGTCTGCCAGATTTCTTGCTTTTTAAAGAAGTCTATGGTGCATGGGCTCAGATTTATCCAAGTCGTGCTTATGGGAGTCTGCCCCAACTTTTGAAACGACTTCCTTCGAAGCTAAATTAGATGCCTATTCAGAAGGTTCAAAAGAACAGCTGTTACTGAAAGAAAATGGACTCACATTAGGCTCATTGGACTGAAGTGGGAACTAAAATAAACCTGGTGATTAAAAAAATTTTTTAATCACCCTTTATGATATTAAACTAAAATTGGAGTGTTAATTGCAGCTATAGCAGGCATTTTTCTCCCACACTTGACTCAAGGTTCTTAGCTTTGGGGTGCCTTTTGCATTCATGTGGTTCTCGCCATAAAATGTTAAGAAAATAGATTGAAATTTATCAGACATTGGGTAACACTATAATCAAGGCTCTATTCAGCAGGGGAAAAAAAAGACCCAGAAGACCCAGCTTCTCCTCACCTCTTGCTTCTGGCTCAGAGCCCTCTCGTTAACTCTGTCTCAGGTACTTTCTGCTTCTGTGTCTTTTCTTTGCTTCTGGCTTGGGCCCCTCCCCAGGTTCCCTCATCCTCTCCATTCAGACCTTTGCAAGGCTCTATGGGCTACTCTGCTTTCTAGAATTGCTGCTCCCAGACTGGATTGCCATTTCTTGCTTCTTTCCCTCTGCCACTCTCAGTGATGTCTTTTTTTTTTTTTTTTTTTTTTTTTTTTTTTTTCCACAAAACCCCCCCCTCCCCCCC